GCATGGGGCGGTCAAGTGTCCTACCATGGAGGATGGAATAAGGCTGCACTGCCCAGAAACCTTGTGGCAAGGCTTTTGGAGTACCTCCAGGAGAGCTTCATGGAGATGTCCCTGGAGGATTTCCGCTCCATCCCCAGACACGTTAACAGACTTTTCCAGTAGTTGTACTGGCTGCCAATGCATCCCAATTAATCATTAAAAAATGCTTGCTTTTAAAACAAGTTTTATATTTTAAAAGGTAAACTCACTGGAGGTCCCTTCCATGGGGTCATGGTCTTGGATACTGGCTTGGGAGGGTACTTCAGTCAGGCTGAGAAAAAGATCCTGGCTGTTGGGGAGAACGGAGTCCTGGGTGCTCTCCGCAAGCTCGTCCTCCTCCTCCTCCTCCTCTTCCCCGTCCGCAGAATCCTCAGGTGTAGCGGATGAGATTATCCCCGCCTCGGAATCCACGGTCAGAGGTGGGGTAGTGGTGGTGGCCCCCCTTAGAACTGCATGCAGCTCGGCGTAGAAGCGGCATGTACGCGGCTCTGACCTGGAGTGACCGTTTGCCTCCTTTGTTTTTTGAAAGGCTTGTCTGAGCTCCTCGACTTTCACGCGGCACTGATCTGAGTCCCTATTGTGGCCTCTCTCCATCATGCCCTTGGAGATTTTTTCAAAAGTTTTGGCATTTCGTCTTTTCGAACAAAGTTCTGCTAGCACTGAATCCTCTCCCCATATAATGATCAGATCCAGTACCTCCCGTACGGTCCATGCTGGTGCTCTTTTTTGATTATCGGCCTGTATGGTTACCTGTGCTGATGAGCTGAGCTATCTGTGGTCACTTGTGCTCTCCACGCTGGGCAAACAGGAAATGAAATTCAAATGTTCGCGGGGCTTTTCCTGTCAATCTGGCCAGTGCATCAGAGTTCAGATTGCTGTCCAGAGCGGTCACAATGGTGCACTGTGGGGCAGCTCCCGGAGGCCAATACCATCGAATTGCGGCCACACTAACCCTAATTCGAAATGACAATATCCATTTTGGCGCTACTCCACTCGTCGGGGTGGAGTACAGAAATTGATTTTAAGAGCCCTTTATTTCGAAATAAATGGCTTTGTTGTGTGGATGGGTGCAGGGTTAATTCGATTTAACGCTGCTAAATCCGAATTAAAGTCATAGTGTAGACCAGGCCTTGGGCTGTGAAAGGCCTACAGGTCAGAGAATGTCACCCAGATACCCCTGCACTGAGCCCAATGACTTGGGTTTGGCTAAAGCTCTTACAGGAAGGCATCCAGCCTTGGTTTGAAGACATCAGAAGATGGAAAATCCACCCCTTCCCTTGAGGGTTTGATCCAATAGTGAATCATCCTCACTGTGAAATAAAGGTGTCTTATTTCTAACTGGAGTTGGTCTGGCTTCAGCTTCCAGCCTTTGGATCTTGTTCTGCCTCTCTCTGCTAGGTTTAAACTCCATCTGCATCTGGGCTGAAAGCATCCTCAGCATCCCTTTAGTACCTGGTATTTTCCTCCCATGAAGGTGCTTTAAACGGTCAGACTCACCTCTTCATCTAAACAGCCTGAGTATTCAGGCATTTTCTTGAGCCCTTGAATAATTTCTCTGGCTCTTTTCTGCACCCTCTCCAATTTCTCAGCGTCCTTTTTAAAAAGCACTCCCCAGAACTGGACGCAGCATTCCAGTATTGGTCTCACCAATGCTAGACACAGAGGTAAAATCATCCCCTTGCTCTTCCTCACTACTCCCCTGTTTATACAGCCAAGGAACACAAGAGCCATTTTTGTACCCGCATTGAACTGCGAGCTCATGTTGAGTTGTTTGTCCACCCGAGCAACTTTTCAGAGTCGCCACTGCTTTCCCGGACACAGGCCCCCATTCTGTAGGGGTGACCTTCCTTCCTTGCTGCTAGATGTGCACCTTGCATTCAGCTGCAGTACAGTGCAGTTTGTTTGAATGATTACAGGAGGCAGGAGTCCTGCTCTTCCCTTCTCTATTGTTGCTCTTTTGGCCCAAGCATTAGTCCAATATTCAGGGCCTTGCAGGGTTGTTTCTGTTAGCATGAGGAATGGATGATACAAGTCAGGTCAATTATTTGGTGAAATCTTGTTCATTTACAGGGTACCATTTCCCTGAACACTAACAGCAGCAGGCAGTTTCCTTGCTCCTGAATCCCCACATCTGCCCCTGCTCCCCACCCGCCCTGCAAGCTCTATGCCCAAAAAGCCCTCCCCTGGGTCACACTCAGAACTGCTTCTCCTGGCGTCCTGCCTCCAACATACACAGCCTAGCTGCCTCCTTTGCAACCAGGGAGAGCCCTATTCATCTGTATGGGTTAACATTGGCCTAGCCACATGGCTTAGTGTCTTAGGTGGAAGTCCCATTGCCTGCAGCCATTTTTACCATATAAAGGGGCTTGATTGTGCCTTGCTTTGAGCCTGAAAGACTGTTTAAATTATCCTCCATGGAACATCTGAGATAACCCATTGCTGAGATGAATGGGGGCTTATAGCAGGGCGATGACTCACTGCCACAGCACCTCCTGCTGGTTGTCTAGGGAATTAGCTCACCAGCCTCCAGATCACCCTCTACAAGCCGGTGTCTCACTTGCCGCTGGCCCCCATGTCCCTCCCAGACCGCAGTGCCCCCTCGCTCGGGGTTCTGTCCCCTGCAGTATCTCACCCTCCCCTCCCCAGGGAATCCCCAACCCCCTATCCCCACCTCACCTCAGTCTTGGGCTACTGCCAGTCACCATCTAGCCCCTGCTCACTGGGGCAGACTGCAGTATAATTGCTACTCATCATCGGCAAGGAGGGTTTGGATCTGCTGCCTCTGCCTATCCTTGAGCGGTCCTCTCTGCAACCCCTGTACCTTCTTGGCCTTTAACATGGCCTGTAGCCAGGAGGTTTTCCAGGCTGGAGCACCTCAGCCCTGCTCTACTTTAGATCCCCTGCTTGGCTCCTATCAACCAGACCCATCTCCCTCCACAGCTAGAGAGAGACTCTTGAATACTGGATAGCAGCCCTTTTATAAGGCCAGCTGCGGCCTGACTGTGGCGTGGCCCCAGCTGAGGCTGCTTCCCCAATCAGCCTTTCCCCAGCCACAGTCCTCTTCAGGGCTGTTTTTAACCCTTCAGGGAGTGCTCAGTATCTTCAGGCTGCCCTGCTGGTTGGAGCTCTTCTTCCCTCTCTCTCTTCCTTGGTTATTACTGCTGGCTGGAGTGCCCCTTTCCTGGACTGCTGCTGCCACTGCTGAGTGAGGGGTGCGGGGGCTGTGCTGCCCAGCCCCTCCTCCTGCCCCCTCTGGAGGGAGAAGCCAGGACCCCACTATCACCTGTGAGGGGTCCTTTCTGCCTGGCCATCAGGGGTCCTGGAGCTGCTGGAGCATGGACGAGGAAGAGGATTAACAGGACCATTGGCTGCTGGGGGAGCACAGAGGACTCTGGAGACCATTGTGGAGGGGGCCATTGACTGAGTAACTCTTGAACTGTGCTCTTGTGATGGGGGTGTAGACTGTGTTTGTGAGGACACAGGAAGTGTAGCGTGGAGCCTGGTCCATCTGTATTCTCCCCCCTGGCCACTTACCATCAGCCTCAGCTCCTGCCTCTAGGACTCAGCTGCTTGCCTGGCCTGCCACGCCCATTTCCACCATTTGGGCCTGCAGCAGCAGCTGCCAGCCCACACATTGACTTTGCGCAAGCACTCATGGGCGCACGTACCCACCCCGGACTGACCCCTTCCCCTCTGCAACAGGCCCCCCAGCTTTGTCTCTTGCTGCCTGCCCCATTTGCCCCTTGCAGCCTTTTGCCCCTTCCCAGCTTCAGTTTGTTTGTCTGCCCTGACCATCTCCCTCTGCAGCTTTGTTTGTTTGTCCCACCCCAGCTCTGAAGCTAGCCCCTTGGTTCCTCTGCCCCACTCCCAGCCTGGTTGTTCCCCCCTCCCCCTGTGGGCCCCCTTGCCCTGATTGGCCCCTCCCCTCGTGCACCCATGCCCCCTTCCATGCGCTTGTGCCCCTCTGCTGTTTGAGTTTGCCCCTATTACACTGCACCCCCCATTGCTATTGTACCCCTCCCCTCCCCTAGTGCAGCTAGAGGAGCCAGATTCCAATCCTGTGTTGGTGACTGACCCCACCCTCCTTATCTGCCCCCCCTATTTCGGCACCCTCCTCCCCTATCCGCAGCCTAGAGGGGAGGAGTGGTTAACCTGCTTCCCCTTTCCCCCCACCCTTTCTCCGGTGTTTTTTCTCCTCCCTCTCCGCTCATCACGGTGGGAGACATGGCAGGTGGGATCCCTGGGGCAGGCCCCGCCTCCCCTCCCCTGTCTGTCTCCCCGACATCCCCCCCTAGCCTCCACCTCCACCACCGCTGCTGAACTACCTGACACTGCCCCCGCTGAGGCGCTGGCAGCGGCAGGCTATGGGGTGACCTCCGCTGCTGCCAAGTCCCTCACCCCCTCTGATTCTGGGGGAGCTCCCCCAGCCGGCAGAAAAGGCCTGGGCAAAAAGAAAGGAAAGAGCCCCGCCAAGAAGACTAGGCCCTCCATGGCAGGAGCTACCCCACTGCGGCAGCCCCGCCACCGGCCGCAGTGTCCTTCCCCGCTGCTTCCTCCACCAGTTCTGTGGGTGCCCCTCCCCTGGCCCCCAGGGCGTATGCCCAGCTGGCGGCGGCCCCCCACCTGCCGCTACGTCATCTCTCCCGACCACCGTCTCTGCTACCATCTATAGCGGCCGGGGCCCCTTCCCTACCTTGACCAGGAAGCACGGCCTCCGTTGCCTCCTGGTCCCCCCTCGCCCGACGTGGAGACCTATGTGCGGCATTGGCGAGGGTGGGGGGCCAACGGGCATACTGGTGGCCTCCAAAATGTATGGCAAGGTCGTCTTCTTCCTAGCATTGGAGGCCGCCGCCCAGGAGGTGGTGGAGAAGGGCCTGGCGGTGGGGGGCGTGTTCGTCCCCCTGGAGGTGCTGGAGGACTTGGGTGTCCGTGTGGTCCTAACCTCCGTCCCTCCCTTCCAGCGTTGTAACAAGGGCAAGGTGAGTGAGGCACTTGCCTCGGGCGCAAATAGTGGTGGAGGGAAAAAAAAGCCACTGGCACAGAGATTTATAACCAGGGTAATCTCCCCCCGACCCCACCTGCCGCCTTCCCCCGAGTGTCCCCTGGCCCTGACTTGCTTTCCCCCCGCTTCCTGGACCCGGAGCAGAGCAATTCCATGCTGCCTCCCTGCAGCAACTGCTGCAGCGGGGTACTAGTGCCCCCCCATCTCACTGCCAGGGCAGACTGACTCTGAGCCTGCCCTTCCCCCTCATACCCTGTCATTTTCCAATGGGACCCTCCAGTAGCACAGTCATTGCTCCTGCCCCATGCTGGGCAAGGAGGCAGCCCCATCCCTCACCCCCCAGTGAGGCTACAGTCAGGGGCAACAGCAGCACCCCCCAGAAGCCACCATGGGGGAGGCGAGGGAGATTCATGGACCTGAGAGGGGCCGTAGGAGCACATGCAGTGACAGTGGTGGGGATGAGTGTGCTGCTGGGGGGGAAGGAAAGGTGGCCTCCTCCCCCAGAGCCTGCTGCTGCTGGCAGGGAAAGGGCTGGGGCTGGGGGGTCCTCTCTGGTCCCTGTCCCGGAGCAGCCTGGCTGTACCCCAAACTCATCCCGAGCCCTGCCCCACCCCAGAGCCCACGCCTCCAGTCAGACCTTTCACACCCCCACTGCACCCTCAATTCAAGCCCTGAGCCCCTCCAGCACCCCAAACCCCTCATCTGCAGCCACAGCCCCCACCCCTGCACCCAATCCCTCTGCACCCCTCCCATCCCCAAACTCCCTCCCAGAGCCTGCACCCCAATCCCTTGCCCCAGCCTAGGGCCTGCACCCAGACCTCCTCCCTCACCCAAACTCCCTCCCAGAGCCTTGGGTGGATGGGGAGGCAGAGTTTGGGTGGGGGCAGGTTCTGGGCACCACCAAAATTTCTACAAACCTGCCACCCCTGACCTGACCTGCAAACCTGAACTCCCAGCATTCTCAGGACACATGCTGATCCCTAGTGGCCACTGCTGATATCCAGTACCTCCCTCCTCTCTTAACCTGTGAGTCCCTCTCGGGATTGGAACTGCATTGGAACCAAAGACCATCTCGGAAGCAACATTACCAGCCTAAGCAGTCAAAAATCATGGGTTGACCCCCAAAATCAAAGGCTCTAACACCGCGCTTTCATTCATTCTTCAGCAGCAATTCGGCAGCAGGCCCTTCCCTCCGAGAGGGACTGAGGAACCCACTGCTGAATTGCCAGCCCTGGGGGAGGGCGCAATTTTATATTCTTGCCTCAGGCACAAAAATACCTAGTTATGACTCTGCAACCTTCCTTCCCAATGCCGCCCTGTTACCCGCCCTCTCTACCCTGGGGAAACCCATTTCTGTTGTTAGCCCTCTCCCGTTGGGCTGCAAAGACCCCGCCCTCCGTCACGTCCTCTTGTTCTGCCAGCAGGTGCAGCCCGCAGGCGATGCCATGGAGGGCTGGACCTTAGTACAGGGAAAGCGGGGCAAGCGGAAGGCTCGAGCTCCGCTCCTGTCATCCAATGTGGAGATCCCCCAGAAGACCAGGAAGGGGGCCACAGACACTGAGTTTTCTGCCTTGCCCATGGGTATGTTATATCCCCAGTGCCGGCTGGGGAAGACATGGCAGCACTGGAGGGTACCAACATCCATCCTCCGCAGTCCCTCCTCACGGAGGTCCCTGATGAAGCCCCTCCTGCCCCCTTGCCAGTTAAACCCCCTGCAATGCCCGAGGCAAGCATCACCTCGGGCGCTAGTGGGGAGAACCCCAGAGAGGTGGGAGGTGAGCTCCCTTCCATATATGAGGAGATCGAGGCCCTGGGTCTGACCCCAGTCACCCATGGGGAGGACGATCCTCTGCCAGCGGGCCTCCACCTAAGCGACCTCACCCCGGCTCGCCCTTCCTCGTACTCCCTCCGCATAACCAATGCTTCCCATCCCGCCTCAGAGGGTCCCCTGGACTCTTCAACCTGCCTGGCCGTGGGTGGCACCCTGCTGACACCTGCCAAGCCTGTTGAGGAGACGGCCAGTGTCTCACGGCCGGGACCCGAGTTACCAGGGGTATCCCTCGTTGGTGTGGAGCAACCAAGTTCTTTCCCGGGCAGAGGCCCCACTGAAGATTATCCACCTCCTGACGCCGTGGCTGTCACAGCTGCCATTGAGCCTGAGCCCGGCATCACTGGGGACCCCCTCCCTACTCCTCAGACCCCTGAGCCCGACCGAGAGCAGCCACCTCCTGGCAGTCCAGCTCCTGTGGCCCAGAATCCCGCCTCTCTCCCTCTCCCCGACCCTACTCCTGACCCCGTCCCTATCCCCTCCAGCTCCCGCGATGCCATTGCCGCCCCTGGGGCCATCTCCTTCCCTTTCCCGGAGGATGACCCCCAGGGAGCAGCCTTTGTGTCTCCCAGTCCCGAACCACTAGGGGCTGCTATCTTCCCTCCACTGCCACCCATTGAGCCGGGGTCTGAGGCAGGCCATGTGGCGCTGGCCCATCGGGCGCCATGTTGAGGGTCTGCCCCTTGCCTGCCTGTCTCGGTGGGCCAGGGGGCTGTGCCAGGGGCCCCACCCCCCCATATGCTGCGAGAAGAGCTGCAGGAGTTTTTAGAAGACGTCTGTGGCTCCCGCAATAAGGTGCTGCTCCCCCTCAAGCGATGGAGGGATTTTCATTAAATCCTCCGGGCAGCGAGGGCCCTCATGGGGGAGGGTAAAGGGACCAGGAAGCAGGGAAGCCTACCAGTGGATCTGCCTCTTCCCAGATTCCTTGCTCACCTTCGGGGTGGGTCACGGTTTGCTGCGTGGCCCAATGGGGACCGTGAGCAACCCTGCCGGCGAGGATCCCCCCCCAGCCCTCCTCATGGCACCTATCACCTTTGCAACATTCCACACCTGGCGCTGTAGGATGGGACTCCGCAGGAGCCAGGTGCTCTCCTTCCTTCAGGAGGGGGGGTACTCTGTGGTTTTCCTGCAGGAGACACATACGGATCCGGCTGCCAAAGACAGCTGGCGGCTGGAGTGGGGGGTCAGGGTCTACTTTAGCCATCTCACAGTTCGTACTCCTGGAGTGGCGACCCTGTTCTCCCCCGACCTACGGCCCGAGGTGCTTGGGGTCGCCGAGGCTGTGTCCATATGGAGGGGCTCGTGGTCAACCTTGTTAACGTCTCTGCCCCGACATCGGGCCCGGAGCGGCTGCGTTTTTATCAGCAGGCGTCCGCCTTCCTCGGCTCTGGATCCTTGTGAGTGCCTGGTCGTGGGTGGGGACGTGAACGCCACCCTCAAGGAGTGGGACCGCTCGGGGACCAAGCAGAGCTCTGGGAGATTGTCGAACATCACTCCCTGGTGGACGTCTGGCGCAACCACCACCCTGACGATGTCTCAACGTTTACCTATGTCCAGGTGGAAGCCCATCAGTCGTGCCACTCCTAGTTGGACCGCATCTACTTGTCACGCTTCCACCTTTCACGGGCCCACTCCTCCAACATCTGGCCAGCCCCTTTTTCAAATCACCATCTAGACACCGTGACGGCCTCTCTCTGTGCGGAGAGGCTGGGGCCGGCCTATTGGCATTTTAACAACAGCTTGCTGGAGGATGTGGGCTTCATGGTGTCCTTCCGGGAGTTCTCGCTGGTCTGGCGAGGGCAGCAGTGTGCCTTTCCCTTGGCGCGGTGGTGGTGGGACCTAGGAAAGGTGCGTGCCTGGCTCTTCTCCCATGACTAAACCCGGTGCGCCAGCCGACTGAGGGATGAGGTGATAGAGCAGTTAGAGCAGGAAGTCTTAGAGCTAGAGAGGCGTCTGGCCGCCAGCCCTGAGGATCCATCCCTTTGCGGAGCGTGCCGGGAGGAGCTCTGGGCGCCCGAAGATTATCGGGCACGGGGTGCTTTTGTTCGATCCTGCATCCGCCTCCTTCAGGAGATGGATCGCGGCTCCCGCTTCTACGTCCTGGAGAAAAGGATGGGGGCCAAGAACCACATCACCTGCCTCCTGGCAGAGGACCGCACCCCCCTCACGGATCCGGCGGAGATGTGCGAGAGGGCCAGGACCTTCTACACAAACCTGGTTGTCCCTGTAATTTCATTAGTTGTCCCCCGTAATCAGTTGGGTTTCAGGTCCTGTAGATCCTCCCCTTAGGCTGGGGGGGGATCCTTTAGCAGGGGGCGCCCACTTCCCAGAACCCAATAGGTACCACTACCGGATTTCCCATGGCGCCGGGCCCACGGTCCAAAGGGGCCCTGGCCTAGCCCGCTCTTCTCTGCCATCACCCCCAGCCCACTGCCCACCCTGACTCCTGCACCCCCACACTCCCCAGCCCCCTCTGACTCCTGCACCCCCTCAGATGCCCCCTGCCCTGACTCCTGCAAACCCCACACACCACGAGCCCCCTGACCTCTGCACCCCCTCACACACTCCAGCCCCCTGCCCTGACTCCTGCACCCCCACACATCCCCAGCCCCTCCGCACCCCATGCCCTGACTCCTGAACACCCCCACATCCCCACCCCCATCCTGAGCACCAAACAGGAGCTCCTGCACCCCCCACATTCCCACCTGAACCCCTCGCACCAAACAGGAGCTGCCCCAGGTAAGCACTCCACACCCCAATCTCCTGCCCCAACCATGAGCCTCCTTCCTCACCCTAACTCCTGGCCAGACCCCACACCCCAATGTTTTTTTTACAATATTTGGAAAGATCATTAAGTGGTCTGTCGAGACCCTCCGCGATTTTTCAAGTGGGCTGTGGAAAAAGAAGTTAGACTACAAGAACAATCAAGGTACCTCACTTTATTTTCATTTACTTGCTATTAGTTATAGGAGGATGAAGGGGGGAAAAGTGAAAAAATGGGGGTCGGGGGAGATAAGAGAATGTTCTTTTTCTTGGCTGGGTCCCTAGGAGGGGCCCCCAAAATGAAGATGAGCACAGGGCCTGGGGGCCCCTCTAACTCTAAATCCATCACTGGCTGTCATGTCACCTGGCCTGGGGATACTGTGTCAGCTGATCTCTTCCCCCCCGCCCGCAGTCTCCAACCTACCTGGGTAGTACAGCAGACATAGCCCTCTTCGTTAGCTCCTCTCCACTCCCTAGCCCACCCACCCCTTGCTTCCCACCGCTTAAGGCTTAGCCCTCTCACTTTTAAAAATGATTGCTTGCCTCTCCTCCCCCCCCTCAGGCTTTCTGGCACCCCTGTT